GTTTATGTTTGTTGTTGGGCTGGGACGTCCGATTCGATGGACAATGATATTCTTTATGTTCACGTCTGTTGCACGCCTGACATTTATGCTTCTTAAATGGACAGAATTGTACATAATGCCAATCACCACATAGCCAAAAGGCAGACGTTGGTTTGTTACGAGTTGTTGTCGGCTTCTGAACTTTTAACCTAGTAATATCATTGACACTGCAGGTTAAATTAGGATTTACCTGTTCAATCAACTCATTGTCGTGTCTGATGTTTTGTAGCCGCTCACATTCATCTGTCAATGTCCCGAGTGTGACGTTTGGATCTTGATGCAGTCGAGTTAAAAGTCTAGTCCTGATCTCAGCATCTTGTGGTGACTGAAGAGCTTTGATGAATATTAGGCATTTAAATTTGTCTTCTGTCAATCAGCGTAAATTGAACCGTTCACACCCTCTGTTGACGTCTGCTGTTGGTGGTAAAGGTTAGGAATTAGATTTAGGGTTTTCATTACGAACTGACATAAGCTAAAACGCTATTTAGCCACATGGATGAACGAATTTTGCACCAAAACCCAAGACCCGTTATCTTATATCGGATTGGTTCATCCACATATTATAGTCTCGCCACAGACTACAAATAAAAACTTGCTTTTTTCGAAAATAATCCTATATTTAAGCCTGTGAGATTAAGAGAGCTATCGAACAGTATTAGCCATGTGAAGTGAGAAACATGCAGTCATTTTAATATAAAATAGGTAATGTTGAGTAAACTTGAATATTTAGCCTTAACTCCATGTGCAGTAAAAGTCGAAGTTAATGTGAAAGAGTCAATGATAAGCGAAAATTTTGAGGATAATGTGGACTCGAATATTGATGAGCAACTGGAGATTCTCAGTTGTTTGTACCGTATATAGTAACTTCTGGAACATACACAATGAAGTTTGCAGTATACCGCGTACGACAAACATCCGAGATTTACACTTGGGAGGTCAAATATTCATGGGCGCGGACTGTTTTCCAATTACGTCCCACTATAAAAACTTTTAATTCATTACTTTTGCCCGGTATTGATGCCATTTAAGCAACCCTGGGGCATCGTTTAAGAAAGACTCCTGTTGTTTTACTTATTCTACTGATGAGCTTCCATGTTAAGTTACTTAATACTGAAGTGATTAAATGACCTTGGGAATTTTTCTACTTTATAAAATCGTATCTGAGAATGATATTGAAGGGATACTGAGTTGAACTCAGCTCCAGACAGTAATGACGTAGAGCCAGAAATAATGATGAATTGGCCTATGTTGACATACCTATTACAGTAGATAAAATCATTAGCAAATAGCCTTCGGAGTCTGAATAAATGCTAATCCTGATATAGTTTCATTAACTCTAAACGTCGAAAGTAAAAAATAAAGCTATTCGAGCTCATTCCTACTAAACGGCTGTATTTTTACTTAAAACATTTCCCCATCCACCTTGTTCGATACTCTACAGTTCTTCATATATATCAAGGCATCTGTCAATTGAATGTACCGTACCAAACTTTCCAGATTATACCACTTAATGCACTGCACTTACTGCCCCCAAATGTCCTGGTACGGCCGAGGGTGGCCAGTCAGCAACAACGGTGGTCTAACATCAATCGGTCCATGATCTCAATCAAAAACTTAATAATATCCACAACCCCTGATACTGATAATTAACATGTGCTCACTAGTGACTAGCTTCGTGAAGGAATTCTCGGAGTTCCCGTGAGAATCCGTGACCAGTGGAGCTAATCTGTGTCGGATAGAGACAGGTAACTACCTCAGTACAGGGGAAGATGGTCGCACAATTTCGTGGATTGGCTGGCTGATGTTAGATATTAACACCATTGGATGCCGGCTCAGTGGTCCAGTAGGTTTAGCATGGTGATCCCAGCAAATGCGAGCAATATTTCGAAGGCATCTGTGGTCGAATACTAGTAGCTTACGAGCATCTTCTACTCTTAATGGCCACGTTTCGCCATCGTAAAGTAAAATAGATCGAACTGCTGCGCAGTATACTCGTCCCTTAATTGATAGACGGATATCTCGCCTTCGCCATAGGTCACGTAAGTTGGTAAAAGCCAAGCGAGCTTTCTGAGTCCGTGCACAGATTTCGACAGACACCAACCCGTTACGATTGATCAGACTACCAAGATAAGTGAAGTCGTCAACGCGCTCGACTACTCCACTCCCTATCCATAGCCCAGGTGCTGACACAGGTCAGTCTGGAAGCAACAGCTTGCATTTAGAGGGAGAGAAGCGCATCCCAAACATGCTGGCATGGTTGCTCAGTGCTACCAAAAGACTGCATTTTATCAGTGTTTTTACTATACAGAACTATATCATCTGTGTATTCTAAGTCGATAAGTGGACCTCCTGGAAAGAGATCAATTCCTAAAAATCCAGTCGACGGGAGCGTTATTCCCATCAGTAAGTTGAACAAAAATAGAGATAGTGGACAGCCTTGACGGACACCATTTGAGGTTGCATAATCAGATGACAGTTCGCCATGAGCTCTCACTCGACTAGTAGTGTTCGAGTAAACAGCCTTCACAGGGTTTATGTACTTCTGAAATACGCCTTTCAATGACAGACACTGCCACAGAACCTCTTAGTCTACAGAGTCATATGCTGCTTAAAAGTCAAGAAAGACCACCATTGTCGGACGCCGATAAGCATGCCTGTGTTCTAGAACCTGATGAATGGTGAATATGTGGTCGATGCAGCTACGACCAGGTCTGAAGCCAGCCTGATTTTCCCGTGTTTGCAGTCAGTCAGTCAGCTACAACGTAGGACCAGGCACATATGTGCATCGGTCCAGGTTGCCATACCGCATCAGCACAACAAGACGAACACCGAATTCATAGCAGTGGTTAGGTCAAAGGTAGTAATATGTAAGAGAAAGATTGCATATAGATATATAGTACAAGAAGAAAGAATTGGTTCGTAGAAAGAAAGATATGAAGCGATTTTAATCTCTTAGTTTAAGGGAAGACAGACAGTGTATACACCGACGCCATTGTGATCGATTCTGAGCCATGTCACCAAGAGTCTCCAACCATTGGTTACGATAGTCACGCGGACCCCAACCAAGTAGTCTGCATCTACCAACATGGCTCAGACTAGAAGTTAGTGACTTCAAGCACTGATGCCACGTTTTGGTTTGGCCGCCCCTAACTTTCTGCCAACCATCTCCAACACCGATTAGCATTGCACGACGTGGTAATCGGTGTTCAGGCATACGTAATACGTGGCCCAACCATCTCAGTCGATGAAGATTCACAACCTTATCAAATGATTTACCATCATTCCCTAATACCCTGCGTCTAACCTCACGATTACTTACCCGGTGATCCCAGCAGACGCCAGCAATATTTCTAAGGTATCTGTGGTTAAATACTAGTAGCTTACGAGTGTCTTCTACTCTTAATGGCCATGTTTCGCTGCCGTAAATTAAAACAGAACGGACTGCCGCGCAGTATACTCGTCCTTTTATTGATAGACGGATATCTCGCCTTCGCCATAGGTGACGCAAGTTGGCAAAAGCCAAGCGAGCTTTTCGAATCCGTGCTGAGATTTCGTCCGATACCAACCCAATAGGGCTGATCAGACTTCCAAGATAAGTGAAGTTGTCAACGCGTTCGACTACTTCACTCCCTATCCTTAGTTCAGGTGTTAACGCAGTCCAGTCCTGAAGCAACAACTTGCATTTAGAGGGAGAGAAGCGCATTCCAAACATCCTGGCATTGTTGCTCAGTGCTACCAGAAGACTCTGCATTTTGTCAGCGTCTTCACCAAACAGGACTATGTCATCTGCGTATTCTAAGTCGATAAGTGGACCTCCTGGATGGAGATCAATACTCGAGAACTCAGTCGACGAGAAAGTTATTTCCATCAGTAGATCTATGATGAAGTGACCTACCCGGCAGCCAAACTGACTACGTTATGGAAAACATACTGCTCACTGAAACAAACGAAAATCGACAAGTCCTCTCCCCTCAGTTGCTCCAACTGCATTTACCAATTCACATGTACGTGCCGTAGCACATACATTGGAAGAACTGAGAGAGAGAGAGAGTACAGGTTCGCATTTCTGAACATATTCCGAAGAACTTGACGCTGCGAGGGACTAAAGCTTTTAACAGTGCAATAGCTCGGCATCTACTTGACACCGGGCATACCGTCGATATTATGCATGCGTTTAAAATAATCAATAGACAAAGAACTACTACCACTCTCCGCTTTGCTGAAGCCATTGCAATTAAGAAACTGAAACCGGACTTATGCATCCAAAAAGAGACCTTAATAAACTTATCACTACCCTGGTAATCTTTTTGTTTCTGTTTGTTTTGTGTTTTGGTTATTTTATTCATTTACTTATTCTAAGATAATTTATACTCCCCCCCCCCTATTACCTGATTCTTAAAATAAATTTTATTCAAACATTTCCGTCACCTGATCCTCTTAAATCATCTTAACTTTCCAAACCCTATTTAATTATTATTACGTAATCTACCTTATCATTATTTAATTCCATTAATCTCTACAATTATCACACAATTTATGAACTTCACTAAATTATTACACCACCCACCCTGGATTAACTCCCCTCTTTTGACCTCTGACCTGTTTCTAGCATATATATATAGTTATTATTGTAATCACGTTATTTACACTCATTTCTGTCAATTGTTTCACACTATCTCCATGTAAAAATTCTATCACAATTTTTGGTTTGTAAGCAGCTGACGAGAAACCTCGAAATAATATGAATTCATACTATTCTGCATCAATGTTTGTTCTTGCTCTATTTAAAAATGGGGAAAGTGGACAGCCTTGACGGACACCATTTGAAGTTGCAAAAGTAGATGACAGTTCGCCATAAGCTCTGACTCGACTAGTAGTGTTCGAGTAAAGAGCCTTTACAAGGTTTATGTACTTCTGAAATACGCCTTTCAATGACAGACACTGCCACAGAATGTCGCGGTCTACGGAGTCAACTGCTGCTTTTAAGTCGAGAAAGACCACCATTGTCGGACGCCGATAAGTATGCCTGTGTTCTAGAATCTGACGAATGGTGAATATGTGGTCGATGCAGCCACGACCAGGTCTAAAGCCAGCTTGGTTCTCTCGTGTTTGCAGTTCACGAGTCTTAGTTAGGCGTCTGATAATTATCGAGGCTAGTATTTTAGATATTATATTAGTTAAACTAATCCCTCTGTGGTTGTCACAGGATGATTTTGACCCTTTCTTATATATTGGGACGATAAGTGATTGTGACAAGTTAGATGGAATAACGTCTAACTCCCAGATCTTAGCTAAAATATTAGTCAACCTAATCGCTAAAATTGGACCACCATCCTTAAAGACCTCTGGAGCCAATCCATCTGGACCAGCTGCCCTTCCTCGTTTCATATTAACTATAGCCTTTTGAACTTCAGCAAGAGTTGGGGGACCTACTTCAATGTTCCATTCACACTGTCTGGGAATGGAGGGTAGTTGTAGAGTAGCTGAAGGCCAGCTGAACTGTTCTCTGAAATGTTCCGCCCATCGTTCTAAACGCCTGGACTGGGAGCAGATGAGAGTATCGTCTTTTCCCGAAATAATCTCACTTACACTTGACTTATTAATTCCAGTTTCTTTTATTAGTCTGTAAAGCTGTCTTGTGTTCCCTATAGTCGCCGCCTTTTCCATCTCTTTTGCTTTCGTTGCCCACCACTGCTCACGGTCGTTTCTTAGACTTTTTCTTAACCTAGATCTGATTTGTTGTCGCTCTTCATCATGTTCGGAACCTGATGGGACGAGTTTGCGAGAATCCATCAGTGTGATAGACTTTGAAGAAATCCACTGGTTCTTTGAAACTCTGTGGTTTAAGTCGCTAATAGATGTCACTGCTGTTTCCACAGCTGCCTGTATTTCATTCCAAGCAACATCTGGGTCAGCCTCGTCTTCAGAACTACCTAATCGTGACCTCAGTTGTTCCTGGAACCTACTTTTGGTTTCCTCGCTACTCAATTCGGTTCTAATGGGTCTTTTTGCTGTGGCTTTTTTGCGTCCAGTGAGGCGCAAGCAGATGCGTGCCCGTATTAGGGCGTGGTCGGAGTCCAAGCAGGTACTCCAGAATGAGCGACAATCTTCTACCGACCCTCTCCAACGATGACTGATGGCAATATGGTCTATTTGAGTCCATCGTTGGTTTGGTGCAGGCGGTCGCCACGTTAGACGATGTCTCTCCTTATGCTTAAAATTTGTGTTTGCTAAAAATAAGCGATTGTCTGAACACAGTTGCAGCAGACGGTCACCATTATCTGTTCGCTGTGCCGGAATGCTAAAATATCCACCTAAATGCCTTTTTGTTTGGTTTAAGCTACCTATCTGAGCATTAAAGTCACCCCCTACGAGTACTATGTCTGAGCGTTTAGCTTTCTGAAGAAGTTCGGACAGCTTTCTGTAAAATTCATCTTTCACATCATCTGAGCTGCAGTCAGTGGGAGCGTAGGCAGAAACGACAAGAAGGCAACGACGTGTGTCCCTATCCTTCCGAGTTTTTACGGAGCCGTTTAGCCGAACAGCACATAGACGACTGTTGACGGGGATCCACTCTAGCAGTGCTTGTTCCGCCCTCATGCTTAGTGCTATGCCTACACCTGCCAGTCCACGAGAGCTGGCCATCGGGTCACCAGATACACGTAGGGTGTATCTCGTTGGCTCTCTGTTTTGCCGAGGTGAGGTCAAGTGAATGACCACACCGGAATCCTGTATGCGTGTTTCGGAGACACAGCATACATCAATGGAAAGAGACTCTAGGGTTTTAGCCAAGGAAGCCTGCTGACCGATTTGACATAGAGTGCGTACGTTGAAAGCTCCAATGTGTAGTTTGGAGCGAGGTTTCAGTAGACCTGGGACAGAGTTTTGAGCACTAGAATCGTTGGCTATGGTGACACTTGAGGAGGAAGCCGAAGGAGGAAGTTTAGGGTTGAAAGTCGATGTAGGAGGAATAATAGGAATTGAAGAGGAAGGTTGATTATGAATACAGTGGTCTTGGGTGCTGTTAGAGGTATGAGGGCGGTTATTACTTCCCGGTTGCCCACACCGTGGAAGGGTTCTTCTGGAGGTACCTGAAAAAAAATTGGATTGGAGGCGGTCTCAGTGACCTGAGAGCGTGACCGCAGTGCCCAAGGGACAACTGCTTGAGGCCGGTCGCGCACGGCCTTTTCGTGGGAGGTTTTTGACGTGTTAGCTCCGTTCTTCAAAGGGCCTTACCGCCGGAGACGGAAATCCGTGAGGTAAGGTGAGGTGTGCATTTTTAGGGTCGACCTTTTCTAACCCCACCCCTCCTTGTGGGAAGGCAGCATCGCTGTCATGCTGGTTGTCTGAAGGAAACACCTTACTGCTGTCACACCTCTTTACAGTCAGCAGTACGACTTCGCCTTCGGACCTTGGGTTTGTTGCTTTTAGTCTTACCGCTCTTCAACCGACCTGTCTGACATGGTAGGACCTTGAGGAACGGTTGTTCCAGCCAATATAGCTCGGTTGCTTCATCACGATAGGCAAGCCCGACCACCACGTCAAGGTAGCAACAACGGTCGTGTTTGCAGTACACGAGTCTTAGTTAGGCGTCCGATAATTATTGAGGTTAGTATTTTAGATGATATACTGGTTAAACTAATCCCTCTATGGTTGTCACAAGATGATATTGACCCTCTCTTATATATTGGGACGATAAGTAATTGTGACCAATCAGATAGGATTACATCCAACTCCCAGATTTTAGCTAAAACATTAACCAACCTAATTGTTGAAACTGGACCACTATCCTTAAAGACTCCTGGAGCCAATCCATCTGGACCAGTTGCTCCTCCTCGTTTCAGATTAACTATAGCCTTTGGGACTTCAGATAGATTCGGGGGACCTACTTCAATGTTCCATTCACACTGTTTGGGGATGGTGGGTAGTTGTAGAGTAGCTGAATGCCAGCTGAACTGCTCCGAAAAGTGTTCCACCCATCGGTCTAAATGTCTGGACTGGGAGCACATGTGTCGTCTTTTTCCGAGATAGTCTAACTTACACTTGACTTATTAATTCTAGTTTCTTTTATTAGTCTGTAAAGCTGTCTTGTGATACCTACAGCCGCCGCCTTTTCCATCTCTTTTGCTTTCGTTGCCCATCACTGCTCACGGTCGTTCCTTAGACTTTTGCTTAACCTAGATCTGACATGTTTTTTTTCTTCACCGTGTTCAGAGCCTGATGGGATGAGTTTACGATAACCCATCAATGCAATAGACTTAGTAAATATCCGTTGGTTTTTCGTAATCCTTTGGTTTAAATCACTAATAGATGTCGCTGCTATTCCGCAGTTGTTTGTATATGTGTCCAAGGAACATCTGGGTCAGCCTCGTTTTCAGAACTACCTAAGTATGACCTCAGTTGTTCCTGGAATCTACTTTTAGCTTTCTCGTCACTGACTGCACATCTAATGGTTCTTTTTAATGTGGTTTTTCTGCGTCCAGTGAAGCATAAGCAAATGCGTGCTTGTATTAGCATGACCGGAGTCCAAAATGAGCGACAATCTTCTATCGACCATCTCCAACGATGACTGATGGCAGGATGGTCTATTTGAGTCTATCGTTGGTTTGGTGCAGGGGGTGGCCATGTTAGATGATGTCTCTCCTTGTGCTTAGAATTAGTGCTTGCCAAAAGTAAAGGATCGTCTGAGCAGAGTTACAGCATCCGATCACCATTATCTGTTCGCTGAGCCGGAATACTAAAATACCCACCTAAATGTCTTTCTGCTTGGTTTAAGCTACCTAACTGGGCATTAAAGTCACCTGCTACAAGTACTATGTCTGAGCGTTTAGCTTTCTGTAAAAGTCATCTTTTACTTCATCTGGACTGCAGTCAGTGGGAGCTTGGGCATAAACGACAAGAAGGCAACGACGTGTGTCCCTATCCTTCCGAGTTTTTACGGAGCCGTTTAGCCGAAAAGCACATAGACGACTGTTAATGAAGATCCACTCTAAGAGTGCTTATTCTGCCCTCGTACTTAGTGCTATGCCTACACTTACCAGTCCAGGAGAACTAGCCATCGGTTGCCAGATACACGGAGGGTGTATCTCGTCGGATCTCCGTTTCGACGAGATGAGGTCAGGTGAATGACCACACTAGGATCCTGTATGCGTGTTTCAAAGACGCAGCATACATCGATGGCGCGAGATTCTAAAGTTCTAGCTAAGTAAGTCTGTTATCCTATTTGGCATATTGTTCGGACGTTAAAAGCTCCTATATGTAGTTGAGAGCGTGGTTTTAGGAGACCGGGATTAACGTTCAGCGTACTCGAATCGTTTGCATTAGCGGCGCGAGGTGATAAAAGAACGTGAGAATGATTATTCGTGGAGATAAGAGAGTTGATAGAAAGTGTCAGAAGGATTTGATTACGACCAACTTGGTGTCGTGTGTTGTTACGTGTATGAGAGCTGATGTCACTTTTCGGTTGCCCACACTGTGGAAAGGGTTCTTCTGGAGGTACCTGTGAAGGAAATTGGGTTTAAGGTTATATTAATTACCTGAGAGCACGACCACGGTGCCCAAGGGATAACTGCTTGAGGTTGATCACATGCGACCTTTTTGTGAGTAGTTTTCGTGTTAGCTCCCTCCGTGAGTTAAAGTGAGGTGTGACATTTTTAGGGTTGACCTTTCCTAATCCCTCCCTTCCTTGTGAGGATGCAGCGTCGCCGCAGATGCTGGTTGTCCGAGGGAAATGCCTTACTGCTGTGAGATCCCTCTACAGTCAGCAGTACGACTTCGCCCTCAGACCTTGAGTTGCTGCTTTTAGTTTTACCGTTCTCCAATCGACCTGCCTGGTATGGTAGAACCTACGGGAACATATGTTCCAGCTAATATTGCTCGGTTGGTTCATCACGATAGGCGAGCCTGACCAGAACGTCAATGTAGCAGCTAAGGTTGGGATCGAGTGTTAGGAGAGTTTGCTTCCCCTCTCAAAATGCTCTCATATGTCCACCAGTATACAACCAATGCCAGTGATGTCCTACTCACTGCTTTCTTGTGTTATTTTACGAAATTGATTGGGAGAATATAGTGTCCATTTCTTTCACCGGCTTGGTGGACACGTATGGTTCACCTACGGGAGCTGGAAAACCCTGATTCCAAACCAGTGGCGCACATGGACACCACGATCCTGATGGCTATCATGGAATTACAGCTCCTGACGTTGCCCCACTGCCTTGCGAGTCAGACCTTTAAGTCAAAGGCTCGGGGTGTGACCACCTAAGGAAACCACCTGCTCCGGTCTGGGCGCCAGGGTAGTATCACAGCCCACACACAAGTCAAGTGACGTGTGTCGCATATGTATTCGGTGCCCCTTTGTACCAATATTTGTGTTCAAATAAGTAATAATACCTAGACAATATATACTAGTG